TGTTCTTTTTATTTAATTTGCTTTCTTTTTACTTTTCAGGGATTGACAGAAAATCAGGTGCAAAACGTGATGTGCTTTAAATGAAAACTTTTTAATACGCAAAGATACAAGGATACAAGGATACAAGGATACAATGACAACAAAATCGAAATAAACAAACACAACGGAATGAGGGAAACAATACCAGTACCAGTAATAGAAAAAAAATGAAGAAATAGAAAAAAACACAAGCCATAAACAGGAGTTGCAGCAACATTGCCAAGCAATGCTAAACAGGATATGCAAGCAATACAAACGCACACACAAACACACAAACACACAAGAATATGCATGCAAAGGCATGTACATGTTTATTTTTTTATAAGGCAAAGTACTTAAACGAACGCGTGCGTGATCAATTTCTATAACGAACGAAACAAAACCACTCCAAATATTTGGAGCAGGAAAAGTAAAATGGTGTTGGGATAAGACGAGAAGGGCTTGTAACCTCCAATGAACCACGGTGACCCACAACATGCCGCACCTCGCTTCCACTCACGCTTTCAGTTCATTGTGGTCAACTGTGGTCTAAAACAAAGTTCTAAACTTTTTGCCAATGAAAATGTTATCAAGCGATTTTGTTCTTTTAACAAAAAACAAAAAACAAAAAACGAAAAACAAAAAACGAAACGAAAAACGAAAACCAAAAACAAAAACAAAATTTGTATGTTTTCCTCTTTATTCTAAATATTTTTATTGGTCATAAAAACCGAAAAGTCAATATCCGAGCACTTAAAAATGACTTAAAGTTCTTAATAGAAAATCATAAAAATTTTAAAATCGAAATTATGTGAAAATGTTTTCACATTTTCCATATCAAAGAAAAAAAAAACTGTTCTTTTGTGTATTTCGAAACAACATTTAATAATGTTTGCAGTACTAGTCGAAGGTAATGTGATTTGCATAAAATAATAATGTTATTAACAGAACTGCAAAGGAAGTGTTGTTAATCATAAATTAAATGTTTAGTGTAAATTACTAGAAAAGTTTTGAAAGCAAAAATGAATAATGTGTAGGGGAGAGATACTACCCACTCCCATGCTTACTATAAATCTTACTGAAGACTTTTATATTTGCACTCGTAAAAATGAAAACACAATAATTTGCTTGAAAGTTTTGTTAAGAGAATGCTTAGTGGAACAAAACTGTACCTAATTAGATGATTGTAATAACTAAAAGTAATTTAAAGATAATGTATAACGGTAGTGAACTACAACAACAAAAATTTATTTTATTTAATTGAATTTTTGACTGACCCATACAGTTGTTTCGAGTATTGCCAAATACCCATCATCATCAGTGGTCTTGGAAATATTTTTTATATTTAATTATTTGCATAAAGAGGTTTTCGAACAGAAGTGAAACAACAACAAAAATTTATTTTTTAAATTATTTTAATTAATTGAATTTTTGGCTGACCATACAGCTGTTTCGAGTATTGCCAAATACATCAGTGGTCTTGGAAATAATTCTTGTATTTAATTATTCGTAAATAATTATTTTTTGAGACTGCAAGTACCAGGAATCGAACTCGGGTCCTGCCAAATATGAAGCTCAGAATCAGCGCACCTTAACCAACTGATCCAAAGCCGTACTTGACTTTTTTTTTTTCTTTTTTGTTCGCATATTTTTCTGGAGTTTTGTTACTATTACTATGAAAGTTTTTATTAACAATTTTACTTGCTGTGTTTATATTAGAACGAAATCATAAACCAGCTGTAGAATAATTGAATTAATTAATTAATTATAATTTTATTTTCAATTGTTAAATTTCAATACTATTCTGTTCGTAGAGGCATTATTTGTTGCATGATTTGTTAATCTAGGAACGTAATGCTGAGAAAGTCATGCTAATGTTACTCCACTAGTCGCACGGGCGAGAACCAATATTTATTGGCGTGAACCATATTTTTGTGAATAAGTTGTAATTTAACGTCAAATTTTCCAGACGAAAGTGACTATTATAGTTTTAATAAAAACTTGTTATATTTACATAAAGAGACTATATATATTTGAGACTATAAGTACCAGGAATCGAACTTGTGCCCTGCCAAATTAGAAGATCAGAGTCAGCGTTACTAAACCAACTGACCCAAAGCCATGCTTGACTTTTGTGTTCGAACATTTTTCTGATGTTTTGTTAATTTGTTGTGAAAGTTTAGTTAATAAATTCTCATAAGCGAGTTGTAAAATAATTGAATTAATTAATTATATTAATTGTTAAATATCAATACTATTCTTTCGTAGAGGCATTATTTATTGCATGATTTTACCACAGTTTATGTTAAGTAGTCATTTCTGTCATATTAACGTTAAAATGAATTTGAAAATGTAACTTACTTACTTACTTAGTTGGCCATTACAGACGTGTGTCGTCCTTGGCCGCGTCGAGTAGCCTCCGCCAGTCAGCCCGATTAGTTGCTTTCTGACGCCAGTTGGTAGTACCGAGCGCCCCCAAATCGTTGGTCACCTGGTCCAGGTGGAAACGTCCTCTACCGCGTTTTCCACCTGCGGGTACCGAATCAAAATGTAACACTTTAACAAATTTTTGAATAAAATAAAAATATACATAAAATAGCAAATCCATTAAAATCCATTGTCTTAAAAACTATAATAATAGTAACATACTCTATCTACATTAACTGCTTTTTGAAGTGGTTTGCTAAGATAACTGTTTTTTCTTAAGGGCTTTTAGTTCAGGCGCATTAAATGGGGAGCAAATGAGTTGACATGCTATGCTAGATCACCTTTTAGGTACTATTTTTATATAAATTTTTGATCAGGGCGAAGGACCTAGCAGTTCAGTTCTTTATTATTAGTTAAAATTGATTTAAGTGTTAACTCACAAATAAATAAATTTTTTTTCCATTGGGTTCGTAATTTATTGAATCTTTCTAAATAGAAATTGACAATAATTTTGTGAATCTTTAAAAACTAATATGAGTGCTGTTGAGCTAAGGTATTCATAAATAAATAAATAAATATACATTTTAGAGTGTATCAAATGATTTCAAGAAAATGTTTTGTGAAATTTTTTGAAAAAATGCTTAAAATATATGAAAAATTGTCATTTACATATATCTCAGTCTATATCGCCAGCCTATATATCCGAAAAATTCCATGATAGCTCGAAATTATAAAAAAATGCGAGTTTAAATACTCGTTTTAAAATTATATATAATCGATATATATATTAAATTAATCTGTAATATTATCAACCTGCAACGACGCAAATGGAAAAATGGTTACGGATACACAGCGTGTACTGAAAGTATGGATGAAAAATTTCTTCAAACTACTATTTAGCTTTGATAGTTTCAATTCCGTTTTTAAAGAAATACTCTCGGAGTCTATTATAGAAAATGTTGATGCGTTTAAATAGAAATGTAGATAGTGGCTGGCAACTCTAGTTTCGAATCTGTCAGGGATTTCAGCTATCTTGACACCGTCGTAACAAACAACCACAATGTCAGCTTGGAGATCAGTCGGAGAATCACTATTGCTAATAGGTGCGATGTAGATTGGGATGTAGAGCTCTCTCTTTCAACAAAACAGTAGTTGAATCAGTTATTAGTGGAAGAAGGCATTGAGGTAGACCGTGTCTCCGGTTGAGTGATCAAGTTGAGGGAACACTAACCGAACTTGATATACGAGAAGGTGCTCACGCAGCTTCCTGGACACCTGGAAAGATTTGCTGTATCAGGCCGAAACCCGGTAACGGTTTGTTGTGATTAAATAAGAAAGTAAGTACTTCTGATGTTCTATTTGTGTTTTGTTAATAATTATTTTAATAAATAATTTTATTATTATAATTTATATCAATATTATTTTTATAATTATATTTATTTTCTTTATTTATTTTAATTTCATATTTTATGCTTGTATTAGTCTTGTAAATATACGAGTATTGCAACCGCTTGTTAAGTTTTATGTGACAATTACACGTATGTACTTACGCATATTTTTTGTTGGTATTTTGTGATACTTTTTTTGATTTTTTTTTTGTCCTCACATAAATCTGTGATAATACGACCATCGATGTTAACAATTCTGTAAATCGAGAAAATTGTATTCAGTATAACTGACGAAGTAGGCGGTAGCTTATGTGCCCCAAGCTATGCGCCAGAAGCCATTAACTCATGAACCATGACCCGTAATGTTGGGCATCGTCGTATAATAAAAACTGATTTCATTGGAAATTACAGACACACAAGCCTAAATGTTAATTTGCTAACGGGGCCAATGAAGGGTATTCAGTAATTGTATGTGTATGTACTCTTTTGCTTGTAACAATTTTCACGCTTTAGTAATACTGAGAGTGTCCTTAGCGGGCAGATATAAAGGGCATAACAAAACGCTAAAAATCAAGTACTATAGTGGGAGGAATACGAAATGGTTATATCCACTTTAAGCTATCAATAAGGCTTAATGTAAATTTATTAACGCAATCATTTAACTATTTTATTTTTTACTTAATTTTATATATATTTTTGTTGCGAATAATTTGCTTGTGGATTTGCAGATTTACTAGTCTGAGTGAACGAACACTACATTTTTATATTAAGTTGGAAATAATTTGTTTTTATTTTCTTTACAGGTCTTTTATTTTTTGCATTTAGATGCATAGTATATATGTATGTATTGTATGTATATCTTGGTCTATTTATTTTGATATCTGTAAGTAGAAAAAAAATAAATCCGGCTTATTTATCAAATAAAAAACGCATACCGGTTTCAGTTGCTTTAACAGGAAAAACGACTAACGCTTGCATCGCAAGGACGAACATGTGTGCGTGAATAGAATTGATAGCAGGAGCACAAGAGTACTCGTAAGTATAAGTAGAAATATTACTTACGTTTACGAGTTTTTGGTACAAGTATCGATTTCAATTTGGGTTAACAGCAAAATTAACAACGCAACAAACATAAATAACATGTTCCCATAAATAATTGGTATTCAGAGACGACAGTAACAGCAACAGCAGCAGTAACAGCGACAGTAACAGCGACAACAACAGCGATAAAGACATCGACAACAACGATAGCAATGACAACAATAACAACAACAACAACAATGAAAACGACAAACGTATATATGGAAACATGCATAAGTAAATTATTATAAAACTAGGATATTTGTATTAACCATATTCTAGTTCTGCTCAAAGTGAATCCTTACGAGCGTCTAGTTGAAGTATGGAACATTCGAATAACGCTCCATAGCACCGGATTTTTCTTGATTCGAATGCAGCAGAATGACAAAATGGTTGGCCGTCCAATTTTTGTGGTTAGACTGTTTGGTGGGAGTGCTGATGGCATTCATTCGATGTGGTACATAATTGAACGATCATAAATATACGATTTTTTACTGTTCTTTTGTATATCTTTTAGATGCCATTCCATGTGTCTTATACGTCATTTTGATTTGCCATTCTGGTTTGGGCAATGAAAAATAAAGACAAAAGTTTATTTCTGCTATGAAATGGTGGAAATAATAACATCGCCGGCACATGATTATGCATGAACATTGATTTTAGCAATCGTTCGTGCATTGCAAGGACTTGCCAGGATATAAAGTCAACATTGTGTTTTTTGTAACCATTCATTTAGAATTTATTTTATTAGAGTTTGATACGACCACACATGGATAAAAAAAGAGCAAAAAATAATTATTAGCACACAAAAAATTTATATTAGAAAAAACATAAAAGAGAAAATATGTACCATACATTATATTATCTTTAATTTGACTTAAATTTATAGTAAAAACATAAAAACATAATAGAACTTACATATTCTAAATAAGAGAACACTCTTAAACCACCTGAAAAGCAAAGTATAATAAAAAACCAGATTATTAATCTAAAACCAAACACTAAATCTAAATGTGACTTGGTTATTTAAACCCCACAAAACACGAAAAGCGATGACTTATCGGAATCTAAACATATATAGTGCTAATGATGACATAGAACTCATAGAGTTTCACACGATTTCCCTGCAAATGGCTATCGAAGATAATCGAAATATCAAAAAAATATTTTAATAAAATATAAATTATTTGTAAATATAAATAATAAGTTAAATTTTTTTTTAATTCTATTTAAATGAACATTTATTGACTAATAAATTATTATATGATTTCCTGCCGTTAAAGTTTATTACCATGGTACTGTTAACACATGTATAGGTAAAATATAATGATAAACACAGTATTGGAGTTCCTCGAAAATCCACCGGCACCAATTAAAACTGTACGTTTTGACATAGTTTCCTTCTTGTAAGTAAGTAACGCCTACCTAACATCTCTGCTGTACAACACCCCGTTCTAAAATGTAAATGTAACATTCTATACAGACCCCAACTTTAATTTGTCAGGCCAGCCGAATGATGTGGGTGCTGATCTCTTGGTACCAGATTTACACCTCAGGTCAGGTGCTGCAATTAAAACTCACTTACCATCATTTAAACTTCAAACAGCGTCAGTTTTGCCTCACCTTGCGAATATTCTAACTCCTTTCCTGTGATGTAGCCGATGATGAAACAGTAGCATATCACCATCATCGGTACTACAACCGATATCCGCTTGTCCCTCTAAAAGATATTTCCACATAGACACTTATGGAGAGCCGATATTTTAAATAGTATATCTCTAGAACCACAATGATTTACGAAGGTCTTGTAGCGCATATATGGCTTACACTTTTGCAGCGTACTGTAAAATGTACCAGTAAACGTTTCAAAAGCAGACTATATATCGCTCATACCACCTACGTATCTCGCTCTACTCGAGTCTACCGAGCTTCATTTTGAACACTTCTTTAATATAGATCAGATATAGTTAGTGATTGTAGCGGCTTCAAAATAGCACTCATATAACATATGAAGTCCAGGAAATCTCAATCGTTATATTATACCAAACGGACGAAACAAGATATTGTTCTTGTACCATAAATGTTTCCACTTCAAAAATGTTTTTAAAATTTTAGAAAATGATTTTAAAAATGATTAAATTTTATCGATAGATTCAAAAAAAAGTTAATAGTAACAGCTCAGTCCATCTGAGATTCAGCAAAGCAAATAATTCATTCCATTTATACGATTTTATTAAAATATATATGACAGAAAATCAATAGTACAATAGTAGTAAAGGTTTTGTCTGCTCATTGTGTGATTTCTGTGCCATGAATGGTTGTTTGTCTGTATTTATGTATATGTAGATATAGTTAATATTTTAATATATCTAGTTTTTCAGTACTTATCCGTTCTAAAGCTGTGACCTTTTTCCTTAAATTTTCCAAATCCAACATTAATTATTTTTAGGTTACTGGGGCCGTCCGAAGACGCACTTAGATCATGAGGCTCACTGTGGTACCCTAAGAATTTGACAACTGTCACTATAACCATTTAGTACAGGCCATAAAGCCATTGACACGAGCTATGGAAATAGAATTTAGCTCTCTTAGTGAATTGAAAAAGTGCGACCCTATGTAGGAGAGAGTCTACGTCTTGCGAATGCAGGATCTGTAACATGGGTGTAATGGCGATTCTTCTTCGTCATCCCACATGCAATGTCTACAGTGCAAGGACGTCCTGTTATTAAGCCTCACGGCATGACCTCCCAACGTGCAATGTACCATAATAATTCCCACTATCTTAGATGAATTTTCTCGCAATAGATTTTTCTTACTTGGTACTTTGTATTCAACGTTTAGCTTAGTCAGTGAAATGAGATTATAACCACACAATTAGCTTAAGTGAAAAGTAAAAGTTAATACGTTCTTTCAATATAAGTTCTTTCAAAGAGATTTCGCAGAAAATATTGGTGTTATTTTTTAAATTATATAATAAGGGTATAAAGCTTTTATTAGAATGGACGACTGAGACCATAACAGTTCCTTTGTGCTATCAACAGATCGTAACATAACAGTAGACAATCAAATTTTGAAAAAATATCATAACGTTTGATACTTACAATTTTCTAATATCAGATGCAAATAATAAATCAGATTCCAATAAAGCAGTGTCGATATTTTTTTGATATGATAATGCAATCCATAGTGATGTATAGGTTATCTGTCAACATTCTCAGTTCAGTTTTTTTTAAAGACAAAATTTTTACTGTAGTTGTAAGTTCGAAGTAACTTTTAAGATGATTATGATGAGTATCGCGCCAGTAGTGTCTCAGCTTTATTCGTAGAGACAATGGTCGTTTTTTTTTTTAAAAATTAGGTTGTATTCCAACTTGTTATAAAATAAGCTTCCGGTGAATAAGATAGAATGCCTAATCTATTTGTAATATAATGGTTTCTTATAACGTTCACTACCTTATTGCATTATTTTTTTCCAATATGACAAGATTCTTAGCAAAGCAGTACTCTGTAATGCTTGCCAATTGCTGTAGCACATCCTAATTCTTCGCTAAAAGCATGGAGGTAAATGATTCAAGTTCGGACTTGAAAGTCAATAAGGAATATACCCAGTCCGAGTTAAGCTCTAGTGTTGGAGCCACAGACTCCTATACCAATTTATTCTTTAGTTTTACAACCATCAGTGTACCACGAGATCCCGAATAGGCTTGATATTTTTCTAATCCCTATGATCGGACTTCACGATTTTAAATTTTTGCAGAAGTGAAATTCCACATTGATGTATTCTGTCCTCTTGCAAGTTACTATATATGTAATCAGTCTGATGAGAATTTTGGCAGAATATAACAATATAATAACAAATATTACATATTAACTTAATTTTGAATATTAATTTTTTGAAATTTTTTGAAAGTCAACACTTTAATATTTAGTTCGAGTAAAGCTGTATGTGGTGTTTTGTTTTATTTTATTTTAATAGATATTTTTAAAAAGTAGTGTACAACGTCATAGTGAACTTTCTTAAATTCATTTTGCTATAAATTTTCAATAGGGCGCCGAAAGTTGATGGCTTACTGCTTTGCCTTGCTCTGGACAACCATAAAATCTGTAAATGCAGTCATAAATTATTGTTAAAAGAAGCGTAGCTCAGATACATTTCGGCGCTTATCTTGACTGAAATGTCGTACAAAAGTACTGTATTCTTCAACGCAATTTTTTAAAAGATACAAATTGCACTTTACATATGCTGCAGGGCGAAAGTTACTGTTAAATATATTGCAATATTTGGATTAAAAAATGGGTGAGCAGCTTGAACGGCGCCTAAAGACTTATAAAATAGAATTATAAAGTTATTTTCCAAAAAAAAATAAAAAGAATGCAGATTTTATTGCACATAATGTTAATATATAAAAAAATGTGTAGTACACATGATAGTGGGTATCGCAATGGTGTAGATGAATGCAGAGTAGAAAAAAATTTTCTCAGCTGATAGTTGGACATAAATTTGAGTAACATATTGATTCAAAGGAAGCGTCATTGAATTTAGTAATTCTTTTGTTATAGAGTGCGCTGGTATGCAAACTTGAGTAGGAAAATCTAAGACATGGTATGTTAAGTGCTGTAAAAAAGTAACTATTTTTTTCTTGTATTTTCAAGTCATTTTACTAATGGAATGACTTCTGAATATTTGAAGAGCAAAGAGCGTTCGTAGTACAACTGAATCTCAAATAGGTCATAGTAGCGTCTAAAGAAAATTGCAAAGAAATTGTTGCGACTGCAACAGTAGCGTCATTGCAATCCTTTCTATGACTTGAGCAACATTGTCAGACTGAATATTTCATGAGCTCTGCGCTTATGTACACTTTCTGTCGCCCATGAATTAAAGTTTCGAACTTAGTTGTATGATATTAAGCACGCAGGATGCTTTGTCCACTCAGTTCATATAATTCACTATTATATATTTGATGAATAAGAACAACGAATCGAGTAAAGTTTATTTTTAACTTACATAAGGCAACTTAAAAAAAATTCAACAACTTAAATTTAAATTAATAATAACCAATACTCTCTAGAAATCAATGTTCTTGATACTTACTTAGTTAGCCTTAACAGACATAAGTCTCTCTCAGTACGGTCTAATAGCGTACTACAGTCAATTTGTCAAATATCTGTTAGTATTGAAGCAATATATTTAGATGTCGGCAAAATTGCTCTCAGCACATTTTTACGTGATTAGAAAGGCTGAAAGTGTAATGGAGCCGATTTTATCTTTCAAATTAAAAAATCTCTAGTCATATACAAGATATTCAAACTGAGTGATAAAGATTGTTTGGAAAAACATATTGTTAACTGGATTAAAGAAACGAAGCCTGTAACGAAAAATAAAAAAACCGACAAAGAAATTTTCAATTCGAAG